AAAAAAAAAAAAAAAAATCAAAAAAATCGGAGCAATAAAGTGTCAATCCAGTGAGGAGGAGTAGGGCCCGCGGGCAGGCAGAGGGGGGAGGCACCGATGCGCAGCCCCTGGGCAGCCTCCAAGGGGTTGGGTCCCGGCGTGTAGGGGCTGGTGGTCACGCAGAAGGTAGGCAGCCTCCAAGGGGTTGGGTCCCGGTGTGTACGAGCTGGTGCTCACGCAGAAGGAACTTTCCGTGAGGTGTCTGGCCCGGCGTGAGCAGCAAATGGCCTTTGTTGTGCATCCAAGGTGAGGGTTTTTGTCAAGAGGCAGTTTTCTGGTCAAATTCTAAAGTAGAATGGCTGACGGCATGCACAAAATCTTCCGGTTAAAGTTTTTGCTCGTCCAAGTAGAAAATAAAATTTCTGGAAACTGCTCCCTGCTTTGTGTTGGGCACCTCTTTCTTTGCAAAGCTCCCCCTTGTTTTTTTAAGGAATCCCTGCCCACCCCCCCCCAGCAACCTGACAACAGCCTTCTCTGGTGTCTCTGCATGCCCTAATTTCTAACTTCTTTGCTCCTCCTATTTTTTTTGACTTAATCAACTTCATCGTACCCATTTATAATTAATTTATCTTGTATTTGGTTTCAATTTAGTTATTTCTTCCATCACAAAATTGAAATTTCTAAGCCTGTTGCTCACTGGTTTCCTGCATGATAGCATGTAGATATGTATTTATGTATTTACTAGAAGTGCTTTGAAGGTGGTTTGTATTACTCCGTTTTGCTAGAGTGCTAAATATCCATTGCAATGTTTAGAGAAGTCAAGTTCATTTTCTGGTAAAGCATTTTCCTTTTTTTAAAAGTGCTCTGTGTTTCGGGCACGTTTCTTGCTGTCTTTATAAGCAATTACTCTACTTTGAGGAAGAATGCTGTTGGCCTGCATTAATCTCTGCATTTGACGGATCGGTAATAACTATGATTCTGCACTTTTGAAGCTGGAGGTGGTGGTAACTGCAAATTGCCTCCAAGCAGTTTTTGTTTGCTTTTACCTTTTTAAAGATAGCATCACTGAAAGAATATAGGAACCATCCCTTTCTGGAAACGAAACTATATGAGAATATTACTGTTGGGCTGGAGTCATGGGGTGCAGCAGTGCGCTGATAGCCAGCAGCAATCAAAAAAACCCCACCCAAACCCCCATACCTGTGGCAGAGCCTTGGGTGCTTTTCCCAAGAGGCATATTCCTGCAATTACTGTAATTCTTATTGCTTTTCTTTAGCTAGGGCAAGCATAAGTATTACTCTAAACTTACTTTATGCTATTTAAGGGCTTCACCTCTGATGTAAACAGAAATACAAGAGGTCGTTACTCCTTAGGAGTAAGCCTAGCAGCCTTCACCAAGAAACAGGGAAATGCCCCAAAAGATGCTTTTCATGAATCGCCTTGGTTTAGTAATTCTGTTCTGTTCTTTTGACATCGGTCATCTGCAGTCGATGGGATAGGAACAGCAAATGTATCCCTTGGAATATGCCATGCTGCCTGCTTCCTTCTTTAGCGTTTGCTGTTGTTGTTTTGATTGAGATCTTCTCTGGCTGAGGATATACAGGGTATTCTCCGTAATTGTGTTCGTTCTGCTGCTAACTTGAGTGTTTGCTGCTAGCTAAAAATGCAAGGGATCTGTGTGGATGTTGGTATTCTGCTTCCAAGCCCCCTGAGGAGATTTAATGTAGAACAGATTATAGGATGACTAGCTATTTCCATCAACTACGTTTCCAGATAATTAGCCCTTGATGATCTTGTATTAGAACTTTAGAGAACGCTGGAACGACCAGAGAACAAATACGCAGTTTTCACTGACAAGTGTGGTATTTAGGCCTTGAAATTAGGAAATGACTGTCTCTCATCATAAAAAAAGCACATTTTTAGCAGCTCTGTAGTTCAAAAATGGGGTATTTAATGACATTATAAGTGTAATGTGTAGTTATCTGGCATTGAGTTTACTTTCAGGATCACGCTTCACAGAAGGCTGGGGGTAGAAATAACAACTGGTAGAAATAAGAACTAAGAGTAGAGGGCTTGAGTTGTGCTTAGAAGTGGTAAATCTTCTCCTAGACACACACTCCACTACAAGTCTTAGAAGTACAGATGTTTGCGCGTAGCTAGCTCTATAGGAGGGAGCAAAAGGCAGGGGCGGTTGTGAGGTATGTGCTAGGAATCCCATTTGTGCAATAAATATTACCTTTCATAGTTAGGACCGAGACATGGCTCAAGCATGGATTCTTCTCTTCCAGTGACACATGAGTAAGGACTCCTTTGAAAAAGTCAGGAGAGAAACTTTGTCCCTGCTGACATTAAGCCCATTGACTTGCTCTGTGGTTTTCCAGGTCCAGGATGACATCTAAAGGGTCTGATTTGGTTTTAGAGGATCCAGTCGCAATCTTGCAATGAAACTATATTCTTGAGGTTTTTTTGACTGCTCGAATGTTGCAGCTGCATATTTTTACTCTATCCATAAGCAAGTAAATTTGGTCACGTTCCAAGGAACACCTGGATTTAGAGCTGGATTCCTGGCTGAGTAACTGTTTTCCAGCTTCTTCAATTCTATGGGGCACTGTAGGCTTGCGTTCCTCCAGATAAATCATATTCCCAAAAGCAAAATCTAGCATTCAGATGGTATCTACATTTGCAACACTCAAGCAAATTTGTTCCTTTAACTGTATCGGTGATTTGGTTACCGAGATACAGGACTAGTGTTGCACCGTGTCTCACTGCAGACAGGGGTGGTTGTGGACAATATTTCAAATTAATACAAATGAAAAACTTTAGGCAAGTAGGTGTAATTAAAAAGGTGAAGTAATTTTTTTCTTTTTTTTTTTGAGGACTGGAATGTATTTAAAAATAAACTACTGGTGTACAAAGCATTTTGGTATGAGGAGATGCATCTGAATTTTGATTGCTGCAGTGGAACAAATTGCATGTCTTTTTGAATATGTTGGAAGGCAGCGCAGAAAACAAAGTAACACCAAAAAAAAAAAAAGCTTCTGTAAAGTATGTGGTGATACAGCTTAAACTTGGAGCCTGGATTTTTGTTATAATACTGTCCAAATGATGTGAAAAGTAGGTTGTATAATCGTTTCTTGGTGAGAAATTGTCTCTGTACATTGGCTGTTTAGCCAATACACTGTGTTTTCACCTCCAGTGATGCCAATTTGCAGGTGTGAGAAAAGTTTGTATTCCTAGCATTAAATAAAGGCTTGAGGTATGTTTAGTTTTTGGAGCTGAAATGAATAATGTAGTAGAAGCTCCTTCCATTTCTCCAAATGGATATCGTATCTTCACAGATTTGATAGTTAAAAAATATTGCAGGTTTTCTTGTGAAAAGAAGGACTTAATTTGCCACTGTGGTGTATTTAAATTTGAACCTTACATGAAGTTAGATTAAGTTAAGTCTTTCTTATCAACTCTGTTTTAAGCCTTGGTTGAAGGGATGTTAGCCACCCAGAGTCACTGCCAAATTCTGATTTAGGCTACTGAATTTTACCTAAAAATTTTTTTTTCTGCTGAAACCTCAAGTACTTCTTCCCCGTCCTGTCTGCCTTGAATCTGTAAGGTCACAGTAAACCTTCGGTGTTCTTGAATGGGAACTACCTCCAGCCTTTGAGGAGGTTTGGATAATGTGATTTTGGTAAGCATAGTTTAAATGCTTTGGCATAGAACCAGTTGTTGTTGCTAGGAAGGAAGAATAAATGTTGAAGACTGAAATGTTTCTCATCTTTGTGAATATGAACATAACGCTGAAAAAAATAGACGTTCTAGCCTGTGCATTACAGTATCTTGCCACCAGATAGAGCTCATGCTGGTCAGCATTATAACACAAAATCACATTTCTTCAAGAGTTTGCAGTTCAAGCCTCTGTTTCAGAGTTTCTAGAAGAAAATTAAAAATTAATTTAGTCTTTAAACAGATGGTAAAGGGTGCTTTTCTTCTCCCCGGTGTAGTCATTGGCAGGGGACTTACAGACAATGAATGAGGGTCATCGTGCTATAGTTGTCTTCTTGACTTATGACACTTTCCTGCTCTTTGGGAGAAAAATGAGATCAAGACTTCCTCCTAAACTCTGAAATAGCCATAAGACTATGAAAATACATGGTCATAAAATGTGATAGCCTGAAGTTGCTGTGCTTATCAAAGATGAACTTGATCTCGTTTTTCCAGTTTTACAAATATCTGTTTTCATATCGGAGACCTCACATAAGGTACCCACCAGAGGTTTAGAAATGTGCCACCCATAATCACAATAGCTTATATATACTGTATGAGTGTTAAATCTGTGCATTTAAGGTAGGTAACCCCCTGTTTGCTTTCACTTTTAATAGTATTTGGCTTCTTAAGATGCATTTTTGAAGAGTGACTTAAGAGGGGAGAACTTGTCAGTGTTTCTTTAGGTTTCATTGTGCTGTGTTATGAAATGTTGATACAGTTTAGTTACTTATGCATACGTTTATTATGTGCACGTCGTGTGTGTTTGCAGTATTTCTAGAAAAACTGCCTGCTTTTTGCTTTGACTTCTTTCTTCTGCATTGTCTCTATCCAGTACTGCTTATTTATCAGAGTTCTAGGCATGCCGTGGTCTAGATATGGCAGGGAACACGGGATATTTTTAATAAACTTGGAGAAACCTTCTGGTGAGGAAGGGTAAGATTGTCTGGTGATGTAAAACCTGGTCTTTGGATGACTCGTCAGCAGAACCTCCTTTGATGGAAGCACCACATTGGCTCTCAGGGAGTTAACAGGCCATATTGCAGACTTGTATAATTCACCAATTAAATACCTTCTCTCTTTGAACACTGTTAATAGATTTCCTCCTTCTGAAATTCGAGCCTGTTACTGCTTACGTTCTCTGTAAAATCTATTGCTTTTAATTTATTTCTGAGGAGAAAGAAATTTCCTTTCATTACTGCTAAATCAAAGCATTTTAAAATTGCGTACTGAGCATATGTAGTCTTGGTTTTATACTCTGGATTCCATGCTGGTCTTGATTTAAAACTAGTCATTAATTGTTCCGGAGGTAAACTTGAGATTTTTGCGTAAGCAGATGTATCCTTTCTGATAGAACACGTATGCAAGCTGAGCTGTATGTTCAGATGTATTTCTCGCAGTGCCTTTGACCTATGGATGAATATTTGATCTCATGTGTGTGAGAAGAGGAATGTTATTGAAGTCAGAGGCTAATGTTCTTTTTCTGTTTTCTTTAGTAGAAACACCGTACTGCCTTCCCTCTGTAAATCAGAGCAGAACTGGGTTCACATTGTTGCTTAGTAGAGAACACCATGGCCAGACTGTTTTTATGTACACAAATTAATTCAATATTGAAAATATATCATACTTTTTCAAGCTATGCCTGAGAAGGAGGCTTTTTAAGGTGTTTCGTATTGTTTTATTATAAAAACAAAATCTCAAATTACGAAACACTGACGTATTTTGGGTCTAGTCTTTTCAGGTGAGAATATTTCTGCCTAGGAAATGAGTTTCTGTACACCCCAACCCTTACAGTACTCTTCAGTGGTTATCCTTTTACTTGTAATTGCTGGCGCTCTCCCTGCCTGACGGGTGCATCATCAATGGTAAAAAGTTACAATTGCATGAACTTACCTCTTACAATTGTATTCTCTGTGCAGCAAGGACTGTCCATCTTTCCCCCCCCCCCCCTCTGTAAAAATAACACCAGGAATTTGTGGGTTATTTAGAACCTCAGTATAAGTTTCTAATCTGAAAGATACAAATGTTTGGTGAGGCTTCCCCCCCCCAAATTAAGCACTGTTGAACACTAATCCACTAATGCATGCTTGTCATTTGCCATGTTTTTTTGTGGCTAGAATTCATAAAATATTTAGCTCTACCAAAATTGCTTGATGTTTTTTTTATAAAAAAAAAAATCAAATGGGCATTTGCATCAGTGGCTATTTAGCTCTACCAAAATTGCTTGATGTTTTTTATAAAAAAAATCAAATGGGCATTTGCATCAGTGGTATCAACCAAGGCATTTATATTTTACTTGGTGTATTTTAACACTTAAAACGTTGGCATGTAGGGACTTTTCTTGAATATATTGCATGTTACTTCAAAAGTAAGTTTACAAGAAAAGAGGTTTTGGCTCTAAGCTGTTAAAATCTGACATCCACCACAAAAGCAGTGAACAATTCCTAGATACTGGTTGCCAGACTGAATCTGAGGATTTCACTGCCTTCTAACGAGTTTCACTGTCAACATAGCAATGTGGCACTTGCTGTAAAGCAAAATGAGCTTTTTCTCCTTATGACGCTTTTCAGTGATTTTTATTTTAATATTTTAGCATCAGGTCCTCATGTGCCTTCTTGCCCAAAGAAGCTCAGGTGTGTGTACCTAGGAGATTTACTGGCGTGGCTTTTGTTATTTGCTGTTCTGCAGTGGAATGATGATTGAGATGGGTGTAGTTAACGTGAAATGTCATCTAGAGCTGACTGCTGCTGCCTGATGCTTTCCTCTTACAATTTTACACTTTTTTAACCCTCTGTTTTGTCTTAACTCTGGACAATTCTTTGCTTTCTCTTAAAAATGAGTACATGTGAACTATTTCTTAGCCTCCTCATATGTGACCTCCCGTGTGGTTTTCTAATTTCATTAGAGTTGGACCCTTGGGACAAAGGTCCTTAAATTGTCTGTCAAGAAGTCTGTGTGCTGGGAAGGGTTTGTGGGTGCTGTGTGAGGTTTGGCAGGTCTGGTCGCTGGCGGCAATGCTGATGCTCTCCTGGATGCAGTTCTTTAAGTCACTTGTTTAAAAATAACCCCAGCGTAGAAATCGGTGGAGGTCTGCAGAAGGCATCTAACAATAAAGAACGTAATGAATTTAGGAGGATGGTAATACCAGGTAGTCTCTGCAATTATTGTACTATTATTTTGGTAGTGAATTTTCTTTGTTTGCAGTAAGGCTCATGCCAAAGTAGCCATATTCTGGGATAATCCACTGTTTTGGATACAGTAGATAAAAGTAATATGCGCACTTCCCAGAATGTGAATGAGGGCAGGTATTTGGAGGTTATTAGAGTTCTGTGCTAAAGTGGTGATACTGTATTTGCCATCCTGTGGGTCTGTACTTGATGCCTTACCTGATCCTGCAGAAGCCACTTAGTGCCTGCAGAGGTCAGCCAGTAGAAGAAGCTGTAAAACTGGATGTTACTGGGGGCTGAGGCTCTGTGACACTAAAAAAAAAAAAAAAAAACCAAAAAACCAAAACATATGAAAACACACCTTGATTTAAAATGCAAAAAAAGGTGACTTGGCAAATCCTAGTTAAATGATCTAGATGTGCAAGTTGGTCTTAATGCTTTTTTACTAACCAAAATAGATTATTCCGTCTTGGGGGAGGGAGGAGGATAGTTAAATAGAAGCTAAACGACAGATGCTGCACTTTGATAGCAGTAGGAACTAAAAATCTTATTGTTGTTATAATAGCTGAGTGTGTAATTAATCATCTCATATTGATTTGCTCTTAATTTAGATGCAGTGCACAAAGGCTGAGAGAACTCTCATGTTATTTAGCTGTTCCATCTAATCAGAGAGAGGATGCGAATAAGACACAACAGTGCATTAGTAACCTGTGGGGTTAGGAGAGTCTTCTGTGGTGGACCTTCATCCACCGATCCAGAGAACAGTAGTGATAATGAGACCTAATCTAAATGAGCTTGGTGCTTACAATCCATATCCCAGAGGGCATATAAACATCACAAGTATTGATACGGGATCAGTAGAGAGCAGGGATTGATTAGTGGTCAAGGGAGCAGGATGTCCTAATTGTCTCTGGTAGTGCTGATTAATTTTATCTGGGAAATGTGGGGAAATGAGCCTTAAAATAGATTAAGGGTAAAAAGGGGAGCTTGGCAGTTTAAAAAGGAAGAAAAGCCTTTTCTGTCATTTCAGTCTTCATCAATTGTTGCTGTTAGGCAATACGTATCAAGACAAAATTTATCTATAATTTTGTTTATATATAAATAAATATATGTAATTTGTTCTCTGAATGTTTTGTTTCTGTGGACTGTTTCCTAATTTGACTATTTTTCTGTGTTCAGATGAAACTTGCTTTCTCTCCTTTCCACTTGAGATGATATTTATAGCAAACTTTTAATCAACATCCTGTTTGCATAACAACATCATGTTGCTGACCTCTTCTCCTCTACAGCGCGGTGTGTTGCTGCATGGTGCCAGCCTGCCTTTCTGGAGGTCTCTTTTATAAGAAGCTGGGGACGGTTTGCTTGGGTGGTTGGAGGTGTGAGGAGATTCAGACAATTTTCTAGCCTGAGAAGTTTCCAGCCAAAGCCTTGTAGCAGCGTACAACCATGTTCTGATCAACATGAGAGTTTCTCTAGAGCAAAACCACTATTGTCCTCACAGCAGAGGAGAATTTAGCCCTGACTATAATCTTTCTTTCCTTAAGGAAAGCTCTCATTTGATCTTCTCAGACTAAATCTGGAAAAGCATATAGACTAATCTTTTCTAAACTTTTAATAACGGCATGAAAGGAAGGAGCACCAACCAATTAGTGTGTTGAAAATACAGAATTCCACCAGGTCGCTTCTTACAACAGGTTTCGTCTATTGACTCTTTCATGGGAAGATCAATAGTGTTCAGGCTGCGAATTCTTGAGCTGAGGCAATGCAGGCTACATCATCTCATTTTTAGGAAGATGTTAACAGCCTTCTGGCTTAGTGTAGAAGGTGGTGTCATTCACTTAGTCTCTGTGGAAAGACCTAAAATCAGGCAGCCAAATCATTCTTTGCTTCGTATTCATTAATGTTTTGATTTAAAGTTTGTGCTGCTGAAAGAAACCTTTAGGGATATCTTGATGTGTGTTTGCGCTCTCACTACCATTAAATCTACCTACCTTTAGCTTCTTGATTTGAGCTGGAAAAAAAAGTGGATTGATAGAATGAGAGATTTACTTTTAATTGCCATTCAAAGAGCCAGGTGTTAGGATCATGTGAGGCAGAATACAAAAATATCCCTATCACAGTGATATGATGCACCTTTTGAAATGGTGGAGCTCTTCCCTTTCTAGCTCTTGTGTGTTCAGTTGTCTTCCCTTCTCCTCGCCTCTGTTTGCCCCTTTTGGACCACACGTGCCAGCAGCTGCCTCCCTGCACTCACGAGCAGATGGCCCGTACCTGTAACTCTCTTTTCCTTTGTCTGAAAGTCACGAGCACTCCATCATAAGAGTCTACCTATTGCTATATAAAATTATTTATGCTTGGGTGAGTGTGTATAAAAGAGGTAGCTGCACTGATATCCTTTGCAGAATCATGGGCAAGGATAAAACTGCAGAGAACATCACTTGGGAGATTGTAGACCTGCCGTTTCTACCATCTATTCTCTGCCACAAGTTGTGGGAAGGCTCCAATCCCTTCTCAGGAGAGCTCGGTTGAGGTGATACTGGTGGTGATGATGGCTTGAGGTGGAAGATGTAGAATTGTAGCTCAGGATGAATGACCACAATCCCCAGTGCCTCACTGAAGACTTCAGGGATGCTGCCTGTATGCCCAAATGCTGTGAAATGCTGGGTGGGTGAGACCAGAGTCTTGTGGACCCCCATCTTTTGGGAAGGGTGAGCGTGCAGTGAGACTTTGCCTGAATAACTGCCTCAGCCTCGGTAACTTGAGGCTCAG